ACCTCTTACGGTCTGACCTTCACCTATGGATGCCTGACCCCTACCTTTAGCTAGCTGAGCAGGCAGTGGTGTAACCGGTACCAGAATCATGGCACGGGAACTCTACTGTGGCATGTCGCCCAATAATCTTGGACAGGTCCTCCTGATATGCCCAAAACCACCACCCTTAAAATATCTATCCTGCTTTTGTGGCTGCTGAAACTGAGGCTGACCCGAACGGGCTAGATAACCACGGTGATAACTCTGAATCAGAGGCGCATTGATAGGATCTGATGGTGAACTGTAGGCTAGCTACCCGGGATAAGGCACATAAGGACCACGACTCCCTAAAGTACTGTGGGATACCTGAAGCACCGACTGGAATGGCCTGGGAGGGTGGCCCTTACCAAAAGTACCCCTGCCTCCAGATGAGGCACCACTAAAACCACTGGAATGATGAGGCCTCTTATCATACCCCTGCCCTCTCTCCTGTGCAAGAACCATCTCGATCTGACTAGCAACATTAGCATCCGTTTGAAAGGAAATCTCACCCCCAGTCTCCTAGGCCATTTGTAGATTGATAGGATGAATGAGTCCATTAATAAACCTCATCACTCTCTCCCTATCAGTAGGAACTAGGAAGCAAGATAAGGGCATGACGAGCTAGATCCACAAAATGAGACTCGTACTGAGTGACAGCCATACTGTCCTGCTGAAGACACTCAAACTGCCTGCGGTAATCCTCTCTCAGTATGATAGGAAGGAACTTCTCTAGAAATAGTTGAGAGAGTTGGTCCCAAGTAAGAGTAGGCAACCCGGCTAGTCTGGTAGATACATAATCCTTCCATCACCTCTTGGTGGAACCCGTCATCTAAAACACAACAAAATCAATCCTGTTGGTCTCTACTATACCCATGTTCTGCAGCACCTCATGACAACGGTCAAGATAGTCATGTGGGTCCTTAGAAGTTGCACCACTGAAGTGAACTAGAAAGAGCTTAGTAAAATTGTTCAATCTTAATAAACCCTCAGAAGACATGGCGAGCCTATCATCGGTTTATGCTGCAATAACCGGCTAAACTACCCCAGCTGGCGGGGCTGCTAGTGTCTGATACTAGGGAGCCATCTACTCCGGAGTGTTAGTAACGGGAGTCTATGCTCCTTCCTTAGTCTGAGAGATGGCTGGTTCCATGGGAAATGCACCGGCCTGGGCCGCACTCTCCATAAGGCCCACCAAACGGACTAGAGCGTCCTGAAGCACTAGGGTGTCGATGAACCCCTCCGAGACCTGAGCTGGTCCAACATGTACAGTCTGAGCTGGAACCTCCTCATCAAAATCTACCTGAGGCTCCAGTATTGCTACTGCTCGAGCTCTAGGTTGAGCTCTGCCTCTACCTCGGCCTTTGGCGTGACCTCGGCCTTGGCCTCGACCTTTGCCCCACGTAGGAGCTACCACTGGGGCCTCCGACTGCTGTCTAGTTGAGGATGCAGTATGTGTTCTCACCATCTGTGTGAGAACAAGAATAGAAGAGTTCAATTATTAATGATAGAATAAAATCACATGACAGAGAAGAATAAAAGTGAAATTGCTCCTAAACTCCATAGCCTTCGGAAGATAAGTACAGACACCTCTGTACCAATCCTCCAGACTCTACTAAGCTTGCTCGTGACTCGTGAGACCTAAGTAACATAGTGCTCTGATATCAACTTATCACGTCCCGGAATTCTCACCTTCGAGATCGTGATGACATCTAACATTTCACTTTCTAGGCAAGCCAACATTAAAATAATTTATCCATTTTCAACAGTTAAAATTAAATGATAAGAAAGAAACTGAAATAACTGTAATAATCTAAAGCAAAGTGTGAAAGCCATAACAACTAAAATATCTGATACTACCATGGACCCGGTGTCACAAGTGCACGAGCTACTAGAGTAGTACAAGTAAAGATCTGAATAAAACATAAAATTGTCTGTGGGAATATACATATGTAATAAAAAGGAAAAGGGACTCTAGGGGTTGCGAACGCCGGACAGCTATACCTCAAGTCTCCACACTGCTAGCCAACCGCAGCACGCTAATAAGCACCATTGGGACTAACTCCAAAATCTGCATAAGAAGTGCAGAGTGCAGTATGAGTACAACCGACCCCATGTACTCTGTAAGTGTCAAGCCTAACTTCGATGAAGTAGTGACGAAGCTAAGACGGGTCACTTACACTATAACCTGTACGCAATATAAAATAAAAATAGGAAAGAAAAATACGTAACAAAATAAGGTAGTTAACTGAAGATAATAGCTAAATCCTCGAAGAAAACCAGTAACAACCAGACTTACCAATGCTTAGAGTTTTGTATGAAAACTTATCGAAAACCAACACAGCACAAGGAAATAAAAACATACAGGTTGCGGCATGCAACCTGATCCTACCGTACAATACAGTTCTCCCTTATTCCACCATAATAATATCAACAATTATAAATAAATATATGTTGCGGCACACAACCCGATCCCACCATATAACAAAATCAGTATCATAATTCACCCTTATTCTACCATATCAATCAACTCTTATTTTACCTGTTGCGGTGTGCAACCCGATCCAACCATATCAATATCAAATATTCAATGAGTACAATCAAATCAATAACTCAAATCATAAGAACCTCTACGATTGATGAATATGAAGCTGAATCAGAAAGGAAGCCTTGTACCAACTTGAGAACTCACATATGTAATATTACACGACAAGACAAGTCCAATAAATGATAATTAAAATGTGCAAGTAAGTCAATTAAGGCAAATAACAGCGAGTCATGGAAGCATGAAAAGGTCTAACATTTTTAACACGAGAAACAATGATTAACAAGTAGCAAATAAAGCATGGGAGCATTTAAAGCACATAGCAACTAAGGCATGGAATGAGATAATTAAGGAAAAACGAAAAATCAGGGAAACAAGTAGTTCATCGGCGTAGAAGCACTCGTCACCTTGCATATACACCATAACACATAAAATTCACATAGCACATAGTCCGAGGGTTCCTAGTTTCCTCAAATCAAGGTTAAACTCAACACTTACCTCGCTCCAAAATCGACTCAAAGCTCAACCACGATTTTGCCTTTTGAACAAGCCTCCGAACCAACCAAATCTAGCAAATTAACAATCAAATAATTCAAAATAAACCTTAGGAACTACCCACGAATGAAAGAGATTCAATTTAGGTCATTATTGAAAAAATCAACAAAAGTCAACTCCCGGGTCCGCTTGATCCAAACTCGAAATTTGAACCAAAACCCGATTACCCATTCACCCCCGAGCCCCGTTATGTAATGTATTTTGAAATTCGATCTCAATTTGAGGTTTAAATTTTAATTTTACAAAAATCCCTAATTCTACCCAAATTCTCAATTTCTATCATGGAAGAACAAAAATTAGAGCTAGAAATTAATGAGTGATGTTAGAAATGGAAGAAAATAAGTTAAAGTGCACAAACCTATAAATTGGTGTTGAGTTTTCTCTTCAAAATGCCCTAGGTCGAGCTCTAATGTAAAGTTTATGAAAAATGGGAGAAATCCCGTTTTTGAAACATTTAAGTCACTGGGCGTCAGGCCTTCTTCGCATTCATGAAGGGCCTGACGCGATTGCGAAGCAGCAACTCAATTAGCCTATGCGTTCGTGAAGGCTTACACCCACCTGCCTACGCGTTCGCGGACTTGTGTCGTGTTAGCGAAGAGTAACAGTCAGTTCCCCCCAGGTCCCAAGCCTACGCATTCGTGAGTAGCTGGTCGCGTTTGCAGAGAGTAAGGCCCCATTACTCCGCTTTCGCGACCTAGCTATCGCATTCGCAGTGAAGGAATTTCCACCCCAGCCCAGTTTATTCTTCGCGATCACGAGAGTACCTTCGCGATCAAATTGTATAAAATTACAAAGATTGCCTTAGTAAAGGATTTAGATCACTAGTGAGTAATGACCCATATAAGGGAAAAAAAGTTAGCCGCTTAAAGTAACTTCTGAAAATGTATATATATAGATGGTAGTAAAAATTTGATTGGGTCTGTTACAACATAATATAATGTAAATATAAAACACCATTTGTTAGGTCGTTCTATCGCTTTTGGTTAGGTTATATAGGTATGTGACATATGGTAAAATAATGTAAGATAAGAAGTGAGGATTACATCAAATAATATTTTGATAGTCATTTTGCATGTTTCTTTGGTCTGCACCTCTCGTTCACCATGTAGTGTTTATGTAAAAAGAACATTAGTGGTTGAACCTTGACGACAGGCTTGAGCATCGATGTCTCATATTGGAGAGCTATGTCGATACAACGGTCGCTTTTTAAAAATATAGACGCTTAATTGTTGACGTACAATATTGATGTTCAAACATCAACCCTTACTTATTTACTGGCCACAAAGTTAAGGCGATGAGCTTATCTTATTCGTATAACAACTACTCTAGGAGGAATGATTTTGTCCATCTTTTTTATTTATATCAGACATTGCATTTTTTAGATAATTCAAATCTAAGCAATTGGATCAAGATTTTTGAACCGTATATTTATAGTGACGAAAGTCGATTTCTCATTTTTTTTTTGTATATATGTGCTTACATAAAATAATGTTCAATAATTTTAGCCAATCAACAATAAAAGATACTTTTACAAGGGAACATCATATGTTATTACTCATAATGTTTATTTTTTTGGGGGGGGGGGTCAATTTCAATGTTTTATGTCAAACTTACATACAATAGAGTGCAATCGAACTGAATCAATCAGCACCATTGATCAAACCATTATCTTGCGATCCTTTGAATTTGAAACAAGTTGCATAAAATCAATGGTTGATTTTATCTTATAAGATGAGATGTGGTGGGGCCAAAGCATAGGCGTGCATGCACACAACACAAACATTAGCAATCTGAACCATTTCTAAGGATTTTTCCAGCAAGTATATAAAGTATATATTTCACAAAGCAATCTCTTCCAAATTTATCAGATCAAATCACACCAAAATTTTCTTTTGTTTTCCTTTCTTCTTTACTACCACATATTCTTCTTACCAAAAAGATAAAAAAGATAAAAATTTATATATTAAAAAAAATTAAAGGCTAGAAACAATCTTTTTTCTTAGCTGAACATAATATTCAAAATTGTTACTACTACATATATTGATTGGAAAGATTGGAAAGAGAAGAGAAAAGAGTGGGGGACACAAAGTTGGAGGGGCAAAAAAAATTATAGAACAACGCCCTACTTTCCCCCTTCTCATCTCTTAGATCTTACTGTTTTCTCATCTGGGTCGTCTGATTCTTGATTTGGGTATTCATTTTTTCTCCTCAATTATATTTTTACAATTATATTGCTGTTGTTTTGATTAAATGAAACCAACCATTTTCATTGTTGGGTTGTTGTGTTTTGATTCTAAATTTTGATTGATCGTCTAAAGATCCGATTTTTATTTATTGAATCTGATAATGTCCGATTGGTTTAAGGTTCTTATAGTACTTTATTCATTGTAAAGGTGTGAGCTTTACTAGTTTTATCAATCTGCATTTCATCTAATCTAATGGGAATTGAAAAAGTGAATCTTGATGTGTGTATTAATATGAGAAAATGGAAGTTTTTTTATAGCTTTAATTGGAATATTGTAGTATGATGATTGTGCAATTTGGAGATGAGTTTTTCAGGAATTTGATTTCTGGTTTTGTTAGGACAATGCAATCTGATCTTGGCAAGTTATTCATTGGTGGAATTTCATGGGACACGAATGAAGAGCGTCTCAAGGAGTATTTTAGTACTTATGGGGAGGTTTTAGAGGCTGTAATTATGAAGGATAGGACTACTGGTCGTGCCCGTGGTTTTGGTTTTATTGTCTTTGCTGATCCTGCTGTTGCTGATCGGGTTATCAAGGAGAAACACAACATTGATGGCAGGATGGTAAATTCTTCTAGTTTGCAAATTTGGTTTTACTGTTAGTTCTTTTCCATTTATTCAACAAGGAGCGTAATGTTGTTGTTTGAACCTTCTGATAAGAATATACTTTTGTATGACACCTAAAATCAAGGGAAGCATATCATTGCAACGAGATTTAGGCATTTAGCATTGTATATCTTAGCCTTCTTGGAATCCATGTCGTTTTACGTTGCACTAAAACTGGCACATTGTACCCATTTTATGGCATATCACATCTGCAATCAACTTTGCTACCCTCTACTTTGATTTGAACTTAGACTTGAATAGCAGTTAAAGTTAACAGTCTAATTACTTTTTTCTACTCAAATTTCTCATGGTCCACTTATTTCAGGTTGAAGCGAAGAAAGCTGTTCCAAGGGATGACCAGAGCACAATAAGTAGAAGCAGTACTAGCATTCAGGGTTCTCCTGGTCCAGGACGTACAAGAAAAATCTTTGTCGGAGGTTTAGCATCCACTGTAACTGAGAGTGACTTCAAGACCTACTTTGAGCAATTCGGAACAATCACAGATGTAGTGGTTATGTACGACCATAACACTCAGAGACCAAGAGGCTTTGGGTTCATAACTTATGATTCGGAGGATGCAGTGGATAAAGTATTGCTTAAGACCTTCCATGAGCTGAATGGTAAAATGGTTGAGGTCAAGCGTGCTGTCCCCAAAGAGTTATCGCCAGGTCCAAGACTTGGTGGCTACAATAACTTTCCATTAAGTAGGATCAATAACTTCCTTAATGGTTATACACAAGGATACTCTCCGAATACAGTTGGAGGATATGGAGTCAGAATGGATGGTAGATTTAGCCCCATTGCTGCTGGAGGTAGGAGTGGTTTTGCTCAATTTGGTTCTGGTTATGGAATGGGTCTTAACTTTGAACCAGGGCTAAGCCCAGGATATGGGGGAAATGCAAACTTCAACAGCAGCTTGAGCTACGGGCGAGGACTGAGCCCTTATTACGTTAATAGTTCGAATAGATTTGGTGGTCCTATTGGTTTTGATGGAGGAAATGGAGGAAGTAGTTCATTCTTCAGCTCAGCAACTCGGAATTTGTGGGGAAATGGCGGACTGGGGTATGGAACTAATTCCACAAGCTCTAGCAACTTTGCGGTATCTGGCAGTGGGAACATGGGGGCTGGAAATTTTAGCAACACTGGAGTTTGGGGTTCATCTTCAATTTCCTCCCAAGGTGGAGGAAATGTTTCTAACCAAAGTGGTAATCTTGGTTATGGGGGTGATGATAGTTTATATGGTTTGTCTGGAGGCTATGGAAGAAATGTTACAACAAGCGTGGCTCCTGCATCATCATATCCTGCATCTAATGGTAGCTATGATGGGGCTCTTGCTGATCTTTACAGTGGTGGTTTGGGATATAGTGATTCCGCTTGGCGCTCTGCAAATTCTGAGCGAGATGGATCTGGTTCAATTGGTTATGGACTCGGTACTGCATCCTCGGATATGCCACCTAAAAGTTCAGCTAGTTATGTTAGCAGTTATGGTGTTGGTAAACGACAGACAAACAGAGGTAATCTTCTCAATAACCTTTTGTAGCTAGCAGTTGCTTCACCTTGCTCAATCTTCCTTTAATTTTCTGATGATCATCGATCCAGATGTTTTGATCGTAGGTTTTGTTGAATTGATTTTGTTGATACATGATTTGCCATTAGGAGCAGGTGATTTAATGTTTTCCCCCATCTTGACTTGCTATCTTGGTCCTTTACATTTTTCTGATCTAGTTGAGTTTGTTATCAAGGTTTTTCTTTTCGAAACTAACTGGGGAAGTCATTATAGGGATTCTCTCTCAGTAGAGAAGCATCTTTCATACTTGCAAATGCGGTGTGATATCTAGCTATTTTACCTCCGCATCAATCTTTAATCTAGACCTAGAGCATGCTTATGCTTCAGATTTTTGTTTACTCATTTTGAAACCTGCATTTTGAAGTAGAAGCAACATTGCGAGTCAATTTACATAATTCCATTTACCTAAAGGAAAGAGAGTCTTATTTCGCTTTCAAGTTATGGTCAATTAAAGCAAGAAAGGAACTCTGAGAATTAGTTCGACAATTGATAGAAGGAAGAGTAAAAGGAGCTACAAGTTGACCATTTCTGGTTTATTTTAGCTTTGGTTCGGTTGCTTATTTCTTTTTAATTTTAAAATTGTATCCAGGTATTACTAAAAGCGTTTGCTTCACTGATTAAAGTGACAAAGTAATCTAACGCGAGTTATGTGACTTTGAAGGAGCTTACCATTGAACTTTAGGCACAAAACAATCTTGAGTGAGAAACAATTGCTTCTTTCAACCTGGCTTTAAAAGATGAAAAAAAGAGAGAAAGACAGAACAAAAAATATGCCTCTATCCTCGTGGGTGCGCAAAAAAAGAAACTAAAAACACTAGGCTATTCCTCAGGTCTTGACATTTTTGGCCTCTTCTAACACTTTTCTATTCCTATATTTCCCAATCGCGTATATAAGGTCTAGAGGGGCAACATCCCATTCCTTGGGCCTTCTCTTCATTTTCCTGAAAGCCAACTATACAATGCTCCCTTTACTGTGCTTGACATCACCCATTGTACTCCGAACCAATTCAAGACCTTCCATTCCACCACAAAGTACACCACCTAACATGTGTAATCCTCCTTTTTCTCCGGTTATCGGCTATCAAGATGGCTTCCCTAGTTGCTAACCACTTAGAAAAACACTTTGTTTTAGGCGTCTTGGGTATCCATACTGACAAATGCGATAAAATTAATTCCTCCACACCAACAGTATCTGGTAGTAAGCTTTAACTGATAACATCCCGCATTTCCTTGTGCCCCATCCCATAAGTGTGAGATACGCTCTGCTTGTGAAGTAGTTCCACTGGACTTTGGATGCACCCATTTCCCAATCTTGTAAGTTCCGCTAAATGTTAGATCCTATAGAACTACTAGTTCTTGTAATTAGTGTAAGGTTCGTAGCATTGACAGATTGTGGTGAAATGAGTAAGTTTGGCAATCTTGTCTGGAAGCTATTTTTGAGTTCTACTGCCACAGAGATTTCTTTGCATTATGGTTCTTGGACATAGGTTTATTTATTTTTCGAAAAGAAAATTCACTTTTTTCGAATGTAGGTGGAAGTACTATAAATTGTGATGTTTTCCATGTCAAAATGGCAAAAGAATACATTTAAAAGTAATAGTCAAAGATTACTTTCTTAGCTCCACCGAAGCGAAATTTGCCACCATTTTCTCCTAAAGGAGTAGTGTCCTTGCGCATTTAAATCCTATGGACTCTAACCCAATGCTGTCTTTGAGTGGCTTGAGTTGAATTGCTCCTTTCATGCTGTTGGAAAAATCTTTGAGATACTGCATTGTCTTTTCAAGCAAGTTATGATCTTTATTAGGGTGAAGGTTAAATCTCTAGTGTGGGAGATGTTTCTTAAAAGGCTTTCTGAGGCCCATTGGTGATTGGGCCAAAGCCAGTAACAACACTTTTATGTTCATGTAGATTGAGCATAATCACTGATCGAGCACCCACCTTTTCAAGTTGTGGTCCGCTCTGAATTTTAAAAGTAGTTTTTCCTTAATGAAATTTAGTACGCAATTTCAAATGCCCATGTACTTAATTTATGTCAGAGACCTCTACTATTGATTTAACTTTTGCTCCGTTAGAAACCTCTTTGGCTTCGCTTTTAAGTTATGATCTTTTGATGTCAATATATTTTATATGATTTTTGTTACATGATCTTCTGATCCTAGAAGCTGCAAATATTGGTATATTTTATCATGTGTGAGCTTTTGGAATTCTTCAAATTCTAATATAGCTTAATGTTAGTCTGCCAAATGTTTGTTTGTTGTGTTTGAAGATAACTGGTTGATGTTGTTGCATCGTACAAACCTTAACCCCAATAGGAAAGAAAAGAATAGAGGAAAAAAGCTGCCAAATCAATTTATATATACTCAAATTACTGACACATACTATTTCCTAATTTACTAAGCTAAAACTAGTAACATCGGTGTTACTTTGATGTACTAAACTTTGTGATGCTATGTGGTGAAGTGATATTCGTGGACAGAGCTTGTGATGCATTCATTACCTTTGTAATTGCAAAGGATTTTAGGTTGACAAATAAACCTTCATTTTGTCTCACTCAACATCACAGTCTTTCTAGTTACCTCCACCTTTGTCCTCTTCGTTGTGATCATCTTTTCTATAAGTTGATGAACAAATAGTTTTTATGAAGCCTAATTGCTCAGTGAAAGCTAGAAGCAATTTTTTTGAATTGTCGTGATCATCTTTTTTTAAAGCTAGAAGCATTTAGTTGATTTAATTTATATAGCGTAGAGATTTTTTTACACTATCAGTTTAGTTTAACATGTTATAGCGGGTTAGCTGCTATCTGTACCTGATGCTAGTTAATGCTTATCATAGAAATTTACATGTAGTTACCTTGTAAATGACCTAATTATGTAAATGTTCATAGAACTTAAAGTCTAGTGTTGTTAAAGGCTCGCTTAAAGCACATGTAAGCCCTGAAGCTCGGTGAAGCCCAGTGTGTGCGCTTTGCCTCACATAAGTGGCGCTCTAGTGTAGGCGTCAAGGTGCTAAGGTGTGTGCACCTTCCCCGATGGGTTATGTCTTTAAGGGAACAACAATATATACGTAGCTAAATTATAGTTTTATCATTTTTTTTGCCCAAATAATTATTGTTTGTGTTATAGTTACGTTTTCTTGCATTAACATTTCCATTTTATTTTTTCTTCGTTTGTCCTTTCTTCGCTAATGCCCACGCTTTAATTACGCTTTGCACTTAAAGCTCTAACATAGATGGCACTTTATTGAGCTCTTCGCTTTTGACTACTGTGACTTAAACTCTTATGTAATATGTTTTGTCTTCTACTCTCCTAAACTTGTCAAAATGAAAAATCCAATAGATTTCTTTTCTTCCTCACAGTAGTTAGTTCCCTCATGTGGTGTTGTATGATACTTCAAAGGTGGTGTTTTTGTCTCTTGACCAATAATCCTACTTCCTCTGTCCGGATTTATGTGATGTACTTACCTTTTTAGTCGAACAATACCTTTATGTATTTAGAAATAATTTTACTTTAAATTTCTCATTTTACACCTAATGAGATGATTTATAGCCACACAAATATTTATGGCTTGTTTTAGACCACAAGTTTCAAAGTTTTTTTTAAATTCTATGCCTAGTCAAAGAACATCACATCGAATGGGACGGAGGGACTGCTTATTTGTGGACATCTTCATGAATTAATAATGACCTGTGTATATATGGATATGGGAACAACTTGAAAGAATATTTGTTTGTGCCTTCCCTACCAAATAATTTTTTTGACTAGAGGAAAAGATTTTATTAGTAGCAAGAGCCAGCACTAAGTATTACTGGGTGGGTATAAAAATTATATAGTCCCTCCTGTAGTGATGTTAAGAATTCTATCAACATGACTGCTTCATATATATTCCTGAGGTTGTACCACCTAACTAACTAAACACTTGACTTCTCTCTTTCCATGTAACTCATAAAACATCGGCAGTACAGTGATCCATATCTTATTTCACATTCTGAAGATGTGTAGAAAAACCTTTATTTCTTATTGATTTCTTTTATAACTTAGAAATCCATTGTTTCTAGCTTTGAATGGGCTCCTTACTCTACACTTGTCCACTCAAATACCAGGGCTTGGTGCACTGGTCAATATTTAAGCTCGTGACATGCGCCTACCCCTCATCCTGCTCTATAATACCTTCGCTGTAACATAACCTTTATAACTGTGAGATGATAGGCGATGCAAAAATAGTTGATCAGGTGCTTCACTTAGATCTCGAATAGCGATCCTCCATCAAGCAAATCACTTTTTTGATAAATACGCTGTCAAAGCTTCTTTCACTCAGGTTGCATTTGCTGCAAAGTGCAATCTTTCTTCTCAGCAAATTCTTGTTTCAAAAGGCATCATGAGCAACCACCAATATGAAACAAGCAAGCAACCTTAGTTGGGGCTATAGTTTCCTGATCAACTTCCACGATTCTGTTTGGTACTTGGAGAGGTAATGAGGAACTTATAACATGACTTGACTGAGAGAATTCTATCCTTCTGCTCAGACCATACCAGTAGGCTGTCTATTTCCCAGTCTAAACAGTCTCCTAAACAGAGTTCCCAGCCATTAGCAGTAAAGCAATGAGCTACAGCTGTCTCTATGTTTGCGCCAAACGTGAATAAATCAGGGAATTCTTTTTCTATTTCCTACTCTGAAGCAAGTCTTTTCAGAGAATTTATATCCTCATAGATTTCTAAGAAACTTCCATATTCCAACCCGATAAGAGCCATTGTCAGTCACATCAAGCACAATGATTCTGAGAGCTAACCTTTGCTTGAATTGCTTCCCAGAATCATCTCTTCTTCTCTGCTGTATCCCAAAAACAAGTTGAATAACATGTTTTTATTGTGAGCCCTCAAAATTTTGACCCTGAGTCCTCCTTCCATCTTGCTTAATGTGATAGAATATCGTCAGATTAGCTCGAGAGATATGTTCTCCTCAATCTGTCCAGCCCTTTTCCACTGTTGCTGGAATGGCTACAGGGACATAATGTATGTGCGTAGGGAGTCTAGAACGCTGTTAGTAAGTGTCTGCCATCTAAAGATACATATTTCTTTTTCCAGTTTGAAAGATTCTTTCCACTTTCTCATACTTTTTTTTATTTTATGGCTTTCCCAGATAAGTATTTGTGTGGGTGGGGTGGGCTAACCTGAAGCCTGATATGGCTACCATCTCTAGCAGCTTCAACCTGTATGACTGGGCAATGTACTTAAGTGGGCTCTATTTTCTGTGACTACTGCTTTTTGTTTGTTGCGCACTCATCCGACTAGAAAAAACTAGTACTTGCGTCATGCTTTCTTTTCTCAAACTATATACCATGTTCGAGAGAAAGAGAATAAAGATACTGTCTGGAAGCAATAATGCTTCATGATACATGGCTGCAAGATCATTGGACATTCTATATTAGCGAACTATCACTTTTTAAAGATCTAGGGAAGTGTTAATACACAACAATTTAGAAGACATAATATAAATTCAAAAACTAACACTGGTTGCGGTGGAGCGGTAAATACTACTTCATCCTTAATCAGGTCTTTAGTTCAAGCCCCTGGGTATGAAATTGTCTTTGTCAGGGAGCGCTTTACCCTCCTAATGTGGGATTTCCTGGCATGAATCCGGATTTAGTCGGGGGCCCAATGGGTTACCAAACACCGAGTGGTAAACCAAAAAAAAATAAAAAATCAAAGAGTTGATTTGAATACTTCTAACCTTGTTGATAGTTACTGGAGTAAATAGAAGTTCTTTTGCTTAACATTGTTTGTTTTTCTACATTATTTAGATGCTAGTTCTTTCTTGATATTTTTCTCTGAATGAAATTATTCCGTGTGAATAGGTTAATGGTATATCCAACAAAGCTTTTCAAAGTAGAATTCTGGTAGTTATTTTCTCAATTTTTGGGTAGTACTTTTCTGCTTGGTGCCTAATACTGTTTGATCTAAAAGATTTCGTTAGTTCCCTCTCTCCGCTTGTTGCATATGTATCTCCCCCTCTTCTTTCTTGTATATACTTTCACTATTTGATACTTATGATGTCAAATCATGCTATTTTTAATCCGCTGATTTTGTATTGATGCAGGGATTGGTGGCTAGGAGAATATTGCCAAACAAGGGTGTTACATTAGGTGAAAAATTTGGTGTAGAATCTGAATCAATGAATTTTGCATACTTCTATAATTATATGAAGTTGAGAGAGGTTAAAGAATTGGATATCCTTTTGTAGGGCTAACTGGAGTGCCTGTTTTGAAGGTCTAGAGATAGAAGTTTACAAGATTTTGTGCTAAAGGTTTTTTTGTTTTTTGTTTTTTGTTTTGAGTTTATGTCTTTAGAAATTCCCTTTCTTTTTCCCTTGAGTGAGGTGTAAAATCAGATTGCGGCGTATAGTCAGAAATGTATCATGCATCTCTGGTGGGGCAGCGATACATACACAACAAAAATAGACAGAAAGTTTTGCGTAAAATGTTTAGATTTAATGTTTTTTTCCTGCAGTAATGTTGCTGCAAAGTTGCAGATTCTTGTCTGGTAATTTGTTTTGCTTTGTAGTTTTCCCTTAAATGGGATTTTTCCTTTATCATTTGAATGTAAGGGAGGTTGTTGATTTAGTGTGATACATTTTAGGGATACCCATCTAGGGTCCCCCTAATGAATAAATTACTATATACTTTGATGCTCATTTACTTATTATCATTTGAATTAATAATCTTGCACATATTGATGTACAATATATATCATTCTGCTACAAATGAACCAAAAAATGCAACTTCTTTCTTTGTATGAAAAAGTCAAGAAATTTAGGAAATGCCAAATTAATGTGTTAATACTTTAAAAGTTATTGATTTTCATTGCCTTTTTCACACTTTTGAAACATAATAATAACATCAAATTGAAATCAAGATCCATTTCGAGCACTTCAGTTTCAAGTCTGTCGTGGGCAGACATTAAATCCGTGTATATATATGGTTCACTCAAAAGTTCAAACTTCGACACGATGAGATTCGTCTAAGAACGGGCAGCCGATGCACGAAGCATCCTGCATTCACGCAGGGTCCAGGAAAGGGCTGCACCCCAAGAGGTGTGATTTAGGCAGCCTACCCTGATGCAAGCATCGATGGTTGGTTCCATAGCTCGAACCCGTAACGTATAGGTCAGAAGGTCACAGGGAGATAATTTTACTGTTCCTCCAAGGTTTCCCTTCTTGAATTAACAAAGTGAAAATGCAAAAAGTTGGAACTTCAAAGACGATAAGATTAAACAAAACATGAACACTTTAAGCAGGTAATGAAATTCTACCTTTTTAGTCATACAACAAAAAAACATGCACAATTTCAGTGTTATCACCAAGTCTTGAACTAAGTGTTAGGAAATGAAAGATTCATAACTTCTTGAAATCAGTGTTAGAAAATGAAAGATGTAAAGACAGTGGATTGTTAATTGACAGGAACCAAGGAGAGGGTCACATTAAGTAACACAATTCATAATACAGAAAAGGCAGAAGTTCAAGGAAACCTCTTCCTGATTATACTAATTAAACTGGAAATATTTCAGTCTATGCTCAACTACAAGCTAGTAAATTCAGGCAGATTAAAAATACAAGCAATTTCTTTTTGTGAACCATTTCAATTGGAACTACAGATCAGAAAAAGGCCCTGCTACCATAAAACACTCTTGGGCTTTGGCCGCTTGGGCGCGCCTGTGGTTTCTCACTTGATCCGGAACTCTCTGTGTTGTCATTTCCATTTTGGATTACTGATCCACTTTCCATGTCCAGAGGAAGTTTCATCTTTGCTAGAGCTTCTGTGAATTGCTGCATGCTTTTCATATACATATCGACTATCTCTTGCTGCACGACCTTTTGCTCTGGTACAATGCTCACGTTGACAACTGGCGGTGTGAACGTACTAGCAGCAACAGCAGGCGTGGTGCTATCGACCTCTTTGGCACTGTCCTTACTACCATCTTTCAGAGGCAACACAGACTCCTCGCTCGGAGAGTTTGATGTTTGTTTGGTGTCACAAACAGATGATGAGTTTATTGGGATTGAGTTTAATCTCTCTAACTTCTTGATTTCAATGGCAACTTGACCTTCACCAACCGCGCTTTCTGGTGTAAGCTCAACATTCTCGGGAGAGATGAGATCACCATTTTCCGTGGAGTCAATATGCTCAGAGCTTTGACTATCCAATTCAGTGCTGGGAATTGAATAATACTCAGTAACCATTCTTTCATTTTCATTCACAATTTTGGGGTCCGGGAACTCAATGTTAACCAATTCACAGGGAATACTGTCAGCTATTCCACGACCTTCGCCACAGTCATTTGCTGCAGCCAAAGAATGGCCTGGTGTGGAAATCTCTAAGACTTCTGGGGTTGCACCAGTATATGTTAGTGTCAATTGCACAAAACCAGATGGCGAATGGAAGAGATCACTGGACGACAAGGAGAATTCCTGTTCTAGCTTTCCATTCTCAGCAAGAACATCACAAAGAGGCACTAAGGTAAATCCCAACAACTGATCTTGCAAATAATTCTTAACCCTACTCATCATCCAAATCTCACATCTCACTGATGTTTCAACACTCTTAACATTGAGTCGAAGACTCTGATTAAAAACTGGATTCTTTCCCCCACCATTAATAGTATCGGTCGAAACAGCTTCTTCTGGATAACTAATTAAGTAAATCTGGGCATAAACATCTTGTTTATGATATATGCATATGTTATGAATATCTCTAGCTTGATGTACATAAACATCAAGAACCCCAATAAAATCAGATTTTGGTTTCAAAGGGTCATAAACAACAGGGAATTTTGCCATAGTAACTACTTTTTGAGGTTCCATTATAAAAAATGTTCACTTTTTTTGACCTCACAAAATCAAGGTGCCAACTACAATTGAAGGTGACCTCAAGTATTCAAAGTGAAATCAACAGAATACTATTCAAAGGTACAACAACAAACTGTTTCCTAAAAACCCCAGATGAAAAAGAGAATTTCAAGACATACAAAAAACAGAAACACAAACCTTAAAAAAAATCACCTCCCCTTATACCATAAGCTGAAATTGGAAATTGGAAATTGGCAGAGTTCGTTAGCACTTACCTACATAAGAGCCAGAGCTGAACTTTGTCCCAGCTTCCAACTTCAGATTCACTGTTAAAGTCAAAAATTAGACTGATTTTGTGCAACAATTGTAGCACAACTAGCAGACCAAATCAAGAATTAAATATTAGGTGACTGTTTCTAAACTTTCTCTAGAGCCCCTAAAAAAATCAAAGGCAGCATACCCAAGAAAGCAGCCAACTTTATAGTGGACACCAAAATTCAAGAATTCAAAGCAAAAATTCAAGAAAAAGGGAGAATAAAAAGGGACCAATAATCACAAGTATCTTGAAGATTACAGAAAAGGTGAGGACAGAGAGAGAAAAGGGTATTAGGTATTTTTCTGATTTAGTACACTCCTTAAGGAGTATAAAGACAAAAAACTTTTTTTCTTTTTTCTTGTTTTTTTGTGTACTTTTCTGCACAGAAGTCAATCTTTGAGTTTTGTGTGGAGCCTTGTGGCTGCTGCTACCTATAATTTAGGTGGAGAGTGATGGCTAATAAAATTCATAGAATTGTCTGACTTCTGAACTGAAACTGTAGAGAGAATCCAGTTCTTGAAATAAAAGTCATAGGTTTTGATTAATTATTAGTACTTGGAGCTGTTACTTTTATACTGCTTTTGCAATAATGTTATGTACTAGAATGTAGATTTTAATAATGGACCTTATTCTTTTTTTCTTTTTCTTTTTTTTTATCTTTTTTTTTGTCAAAATAATAATGGACCTCTATTATTGAAATCGTTGAACTGTTACCTTACTTTGACCTGACTGTTAACAATTTGACTACTACTTCCAATGTGTGCGAAAATAACAACGTAATTTGCAAATTACTTCTCTTTTGTCTGGTTATAACTGTTAGGAATATTTGAAAAAAATAATATATATATTAGCTTTAATATTACTAATATCTTGTTTGGCAGTATTTTTTAATCACTTTATTTAGTATTATTTTTATACATAGCATTAGCAATACAATGATTTTTAATACATAGATAAGCATGCAGGGACGAATCCAGGATTTAAACTTTATGGGTTCAACTTTAAATTTTTTAACATTGAACCCATTATATTTTTAAAGTTATATATTCATAGCTATTATTTTTATAATTTTAATAAATTTTTATTACGCGTCGAAATTTATGGTTCTATTGAACCCGTAACTGCCACATTGCATCCGCCCCTGTAAGCATGTATAAAGACAGAACTGTCATTTTAAAATCTATAACACAACAAAATAAATAATCGATAAGAAAATATTTCCAACATAACTAATCTCAGCATTACTAAGCTATATTACTAATACACAATATTTAGTGCAACAACAATAACATACCCAGTATATCTCATACCGTGAGGTCTGGGAAGGGTAGTGTGTACACATGTCTTACCCTTACCTTGTGAGTTGTGAGGATAGAGAGGTTGTTTCCAATGGACCCTCGGCTCAGAAAAGCATAAGCATCAAGAAAGCATAATACACAATATTTAGTACTATTCTTATACTATTACACCCCATATTTTCGTACGTGAGAATACATCGTAAGTCAATTAATGTAAGTTCCTAAAGGAGATTATATTTGAAAGTACATAAAGTAAGTTAATCATGTTACCTTAGAGGTTACAAATCTTTAAGATCACGGATAACAAGTACCAAGAGGGTTGAAAGGCTTAGAAGCTAAACAAATTCAAAAAAAATAAGTTTCGTCGAATGTCAACAAGTTGGGAATGTTATAACATATACTTTTGGGGTGAGAATAGGGTGCTTAACATTATAAGAAGATGAAGTTATGAGTTATTTTAGTCGTATGATAGTCGTGTGTTATGTTTTGAAGTCAAGCGAGATGTGGAACAAAAGTTGGAAAAGGTCATCACAAGTTACATTCATAAATGTGTTGAAACTTAGGTCAATTGTAGCTGAGCTTTTCTCCCAATATACTTGAAATTAGGGGATGATCTACCTATCAAATTGAAGATCTATGAGTCTAGTTTCTAATACATTAAACCGTTTATCAATACGATATTGGAGTAGAGAGATATGTGCATTTTTGCGAGACTGCGCAGACTGCTAGGTGACCAGTAAGTGTGTCACTTACTTGCTTAAATGAGAGTCCAAAAAAGGGCTATTTCGGGTCGGCCAAAGAGCCCATTTGAGTGCTTATCTTCTGAAATATAACACTCATTTTATAACAAAATAACCTGACCTAAAACCCTGCAAACATCCTCCGAAAAATTACCCACAAACCCTAATTGATTTTCTCTCCTTTTCAAGTTTTAGTTGGAGGTAAAACCTAGAGTTTGAATAACCAAGATAGGAGCTGAGTTATTCAAAAAATAAGGTAAGTTTACTGCTCTCTTTCATCCATTTTTTATGTTGGAGATGTATGGAAAGTTGTTCTATAATTGTAAGAATTTACGGGACGGTGATCAGAAACCGTGAGTTCGAGTTATTCACTTGTAGCGGACTATTTTGTGTTGGATTGCGTGCTTTACTACTATTTTATGGAGTTTTGGAGGAGGAAAGGTGTGGAGAAACACCACGTAAATGCAGGGTGGTGGGCTGATCGTTCGTCGTAACATTTTTGGACTGTTTGACACTATAATGATCGTTTTGTGTATGAAGAGATTGGGGTGTGTTGGGCTGTTTTGCAGTATATTGTGGTGTATATAAGGTTGAAAAATAATGTATATATGTTGATATTGTTGTGTTCTTATTGTTGTTGGTATATGATATTGGAGGAGGGCCTTATTACATGGGAGATGCTGCCCAAATTTATGTAAACGAGTTACTAGTTTAAGTTGCGGACTTAGCCTTTACTCAGCAGTGATTTTGAATCTCCTTATGCTTTGGTAGATTGAGCTGAGTTGTTTGAAGAATTGCTTGGAAGGTATTAAGGACTCAACAGAGTTAAGGTATGTTAAGGAAAAATCTTTCCTTCATTTTGGCATGATCCAGTAACTACATGTGTTTGATAACGAGGCATAAAGAGAAGTTCATATTCCTGAATTTATGTACATTGACCTAGTCTCATAAGTTACAACATTCTCCTTTATCGGGACTTCATATTTAGTTTAGTTTTGTCTTCTTTCAGCCAAGAGAGTAGAGAGTCCATATATATACAGTATTACAGTATTTTTACTACTATCGAGCTATAATCGATGGGCAGACCCCTATTGGACAACCTCTGCTCAAATGATAAGTTATATACCGAGCCTATTGTGGTCGAGCGCCTATGAGAGAGCCTAGAATGGCCGAGATACAGAGCCTAGTATGGCCGAGCGCCTATGAGCGAGCCTACTACGGCAGAGCAGTTACACATACCAAGCCTTATAGGGCCGGACAACTATTTTACTTACTATATTGAGAGAGATGGGTCAGTATCAGCAGGTAAGCATACTTTCAAATTATATTTGACTCCCAGGTAATTTCAGTTATTATATTATCAGTTCAGTTTCAGCTTTTAGTTATTCTGTTGCCTTACATACTCGGTACATTATTTCGTACTGACGTCCCTTTTGCTGGGGACACTGCATTTCATGCCTGCAAGTCCTGATAGGCAACTGGATAGACCTTCCTAGTAGACAAAGTCAAACATCAGCTTGGTTGGTAAGCTCCACTTCCTCGGAGTTACCAAGTCTATACCTTGGAGTCCTTTTTGTATATACAGGTTCGATTGATAGGTCGAGGCCCTGTCCTGACCATGATACAGTTAAGTTATCCTTAGAGGCTTGTAGACGAGTCCTGTACATTTTTTATATCAGTATTGTGGCTTTACCAACCATATGTAGATGTTTAGTTTGGTACTGCTGATTGTAGATGTTATTTTCAGATGATTCGGAATATGGCCTCATCAGCCTAAGTTGAGGGTTACCTCTCTAGAGTTCACAGTTACAGAGTTGTACGCTCGGGCCGAGTATGGCACCGGGTGACAACCATGCCTCTTCAGGTTTGGGGCATGACATATACACCCTACTAGACGATTCCTTAGAGGTTATACCTATCTATATTATATTAAAGTACGAAGGCCTTTAGCAAAATGTCGTTCGTCTTTTTTACCCTTTTAAAATAGAGTTCACATTGGACAAAATAATCATTTGAGTATTTTTCTAATATTTAGGATTTTAAAAATAGATAAAGTATTTTTCATGAATTATTCCTTATTTAAACTAGCTATAAAATCTCCTAATATTTAGGACTTTAAAATCACGTAAACTTTTACCTTATATAAATTATAAGATAGAAAGAAAAAACAATCAACAACCCAAAATGAGCAACTAAACCCCAAAATCTATACCACTTTAATTTTCCCCATTCTTTCATTAATCAAGATACTGTACTCATTATTTTTTTCAATTTTAACAGAATCCAATAGAATATTATTAATGAGTTAATGTTTTAGCTATAATTAATAGAAGACTAGAATAAACTTTGGAAAATATTATTTGAAAACAGAAATATATTCTAACAAAAGAAAATGCAAACTGAGACTTAACGTTCTGAATTCTAATATCTTACCCGTTAATCTATATCCCTATGCAAATCCCATTAAATTGTAAAATTAGAAATATATGCATTTGTTTTTAGATTCTTGTTTGCTTCTTTCGCGCATAGAAAATAATTCACAAGGAAGTTAATAGCAGATTATGATTGGCAGAACACTGTTTATGAATTGAAATTATGCAATTTTATACGTGAAAAAATAGGCAAAAAAGTCTAAGAGTATGATTGACAGAAATTTGTATATAATTATTTTATGAAAGTAATAAATAAATATGATAAATAAAAAAAATCATAAAATAATTTTAGAAAAATAAACAAGCAAAGTATTTTTGTAAATTTTGTTATCATAAAAATGTTTTAGAGAGTATAAATAATTAAAATATTATTTTTTTTATCAAACCAGATTTACTTTTAAAAAGTCCAAATTTAAATGAGAAGTGATTATATATGTTGAGAATTTTAAGATGGAAAAGTCTTAAAAAGAGGGTGAATGGGAATAGGAGGGAAAATGAAATTTTTGAGTAACATTTTAAGTTTCCCTCTCTTGAAACATTATCCCATATTGGAAGAGGAAAAGGATTTTGGTGGGTATATATACACTTGCTCTTCTTGTAGCTCTTAAAGAGTTAAGAACAAGGCAAGCCTCGCGCCGTCGTCGTTGTCGCTCGCACGACTATGGCTTCGGCTTCGGCTTCGGATTTGGTCAAATGATTGATTGATTAAGTTTTTTTTGGACCAAATTTATTTGTTAATAGTAAATATTAACGTAATATTATCTGTGTTTGTAACAGATATGTTCCAATCTGTGGATTTGTTCCAGCAGCCTAGTGCGTCTCCCACCATGGACAAATGCTTGCTCCATAATAGCAAGTGATTGCTCCATTAATTAGCAGCCTGGTGCTCCGCCCACCATGGCCAAGTGCTCCACTAAATGAGCGGCAGTGGGTCCGTGTTTAGCAGCTGACTGCACTATAAATAGATGGTGCAAGCAGCTTGTTGAAGATACACAGACAGAAATCGAAAGTGAAGTTACTGATTTCCTCTTCGGTTTACACATCT